TCCAACTCCACCTCTTTAAAATATTCATTTACAGTAATTTTTCCTAAATAGAGCTTAAAAGGGTTGTAATGGCTGCTCTAACTACAGCTTCATGTTTCAGTGAATACTGGCTTTGTCTTGTTCCATATTCAATCTCTCTGGATGAAAAGTTTTATTATACGCATTGAGAGAAGTCAATGCCTGTTTGTTATTTCAGTTTTGTATGTTACCAAGCTTGAACACAGAGAAATTAAGTTGTTAGCTCTATTATGGTGCAGTTTGAATGTGAAAAAGGAGAGAAAGTGAATGGGACAGAAAAAGGCCAAATAGAAATATGTAGCAACAAGCATTAGGAGATTGACTGTAGCCCAGAGAAAGAATAAAATTTGCAAGACAATAGAAATGGGAGGAAGCTTTATAGAAGCACTAAATTTAGGAGCAAATACTTGCAGGAGAAAGAATTAAAAGTCCTGAAGAACTTCTGGGGCAAAACAAACAGAATGTGAATGTTCATCAGGTTCAGAGAGACATTCAGAAGGAGATAGGCACTACAGAGGGCAGCACTGGGATATGCCAATTGCAGAGCTGGACAACTGGCTGCAGGAATGGGACAGTGGCTCTCTCCTTCTCAAACACAGGAATTATCACAAAGGCATGGGGACAAAATGGAAAAGATTCCTGAGACAAACAGGTGGGAAAATACTGCAGCTGAGCAGTACTAAATATTGTCAGATAGCCTTAATAGGCGAGGTTGGACAAGAAGATGTTATCACAGTTACTTTTTTTTTGTGATCAGAACACATTTCTCACATTCTACACAGTATATAACCTTGTAACTCTATTTTCAGCTATGCAAAGTCCATGGCTTTCAGTGAAACATGAAGAAACTTCTGCATTAATCACTGAAGGAAAAACAAAGAGAAGGCATCCTTGAAAAATAAAATTTGGGAAGAATAAAGGAAGGATAGGGGATTTAGTCCATGCAAAACAAGATAAAGCTGAGAAGAAAAGTTTCAGTCACAAGTATCTGGTTAAATAAACTTATCTTGCATGTATCTGGCAGGAGATGCTAGCTTGGTACCTGCATGCAGATCTTGTTTGCTGGGCAGAACAAAGACTTCACAGGATACAAATATAGTTGTGGTTGGACAACAAACTCTGAACCCAGCTTACAAAGTATATATAAACAAAGGAAATGAAGGGGGGGAAGAGGGATGTCTGACAGGCAAATTGAGAAGAATCTGAACCTCAAGTACCTCAGTCAATAGGGAAAGAGCTCCCTAACATCAGGGTACAGGGATAAAAGAGGGGATGTGTCCCCCAATACTTTGAGAGATCCCACAGGGGTATGCTCCAGTGGACTCTCCTTTCATTCAAATAAAGAAAGCTGAAGACTCTCCCCTGTCTCTTTTGGGGATAAAGATGACTGAGTAAGCCTATTGGAGCAGAAATTTTCCTAACAGTGATCAAACACCCCTTTTCAGTTCTTTAGTACTATTTCTCTATCAAAAAATATAAAGGTTGTTCAGTATAATATAAATACAGAACATGTCCCTTGTGTGTACCCCCACAGTCTCAGGGTGGGCAACACGTTTCAAACAAAGTTTGATGATGGAAATGAGGCAGTGTCAGCTCGAAAATCAAAAGGACCTAAATATGGCCTATGCCTAGGGCTGATGTCTGTGGCACAGAAATGCAGGAATTAGTAGATTTCATTTTTTAGGTTTTCCTCGTATGGAGAGAGAAATCAAAGCTGAAAAATGCAATCTTCCTTTCATTCTCCTATAGATAAAACACTCAGGAAGACTCTGCATGCAAGTAGTCTCTCAATGGCACCTACAAACCTGGAAGTCTCATGGCAGAGAACTGATATTGCCAGGTCCTGGTCCTTGGAGAATGGGGCTGCTCCTCTACTGGCAAGATGAAGAAGAGCCTACATGCAATTTGAGCATCTCACAGTGCCATAGTCATTCAGCTCAGTACCATGAGGCAGCAGCTAGGATCACTCTGGGCTGGATGGTAGCAATGTGTTGTTTTCCTGTTTGAGTGCATAGTATTCTGTAACTCCTAAGACACCAGGTAAGCCAGTATGCATGGTTTTGTGGAAGGTGTGCTCCTAGCCAGTCAGAAAACCTGCCTGTTTATCTGTGCCATGCAAACGGAAGATTACAAGTAAAGAATTATTTACAGATTATTATTTTAACTAATGCAAGCTTCACAGATTTAACTGTTCAGTGAAGGCTTGTTGATAACCTGCATACCCCACCAAGTAGACCAACTTTGTTAAAACACTGGGGAACACAAGGAACAAGGAAAATATTATTTTACACCATATGCTGAAAGATTTACTGAGTGTAAGGCAGAGGGCAATAGCCCACAATTTGCACTTCTAAACATGCAGCTGTGAAACTAGTGTCTATTTTTTAATCCAGCTGGTGCTTTTCCAGAAAGAGGATTGCAAATGTTGCTCCAATACTTCAGTGTCTGATAAAGAGGGAAAGTGATAAAGAGGGAAAGCCCTCTGAAAGTGCAAATCAAGTTTCAAGGAATTTTAGCAGGCATTGGCATTTGCTATTATCATGCACCCTCTTCACTTCTGGTAAATGAACCATTGTGGGAAATATAAAAATATCACCTATCAGCTAGCTATGGCATTTGAACAATGCATTCACTTTCATAAAAGCCATTCTGTGAAATAATTTCCATTCAGTGCAGCCATTAAGGTACAAAAGCTACAAATATTACTTACGTTCCAATAGAATCACATTTGGAAATCAAAAGTCTGCTGCATGAGAACGACAAGCTACAACTCCTCCTCCTACCCCCCAGAAAAAAAACAAGCAACCAGCAACCAACAAATTTGTAAGGGGGAAATAAACAGAAGGGATAAATTACCATTGTCCCAAAGACTTACTAGGATCATGTATCCAATAAAGTACGTTGCATAATAAAGTGATCCACCATCAACTGATAACAGCTAAGCTATTTTAGTTTTTATACAAATATTTCTTCTCTTAGACCCCACAGATAGATTTTTCTACATATTATAACCTCAGTGTGTTCTCCTGCTGAACATGTCCTTAAGGAAATATTTCAAAGAGCTTTGAAGTAGAGCTCAGAAGAAGAGAACGAGCAATAGAAGCATTTCCATTTCCTTCATTTTTAAGTAAGCATCTATGGTGGTAACCCTGTTTTCTCTGGAAATAAATGCAAAATGTATGTAAATGTTGAGTACGAATGGGAAAATTTTTATTCAACTGATGAACATTTTTTTCAGATTCTGCTGTTCTCTGTGCCCATACTGAGATTAAATCATTCATAAAGCATGCAGTGAAAATTGATTTAGGCATGCAAATAAAACAATGACAAAGAACTGTAGTAGGTGAAACAAGAGGTAGACCTCAATACAATAACACATCCCTAGGCAAATAATTTTCATTATGCGAATGCAAAGTTCAGCATACAACCAATACAGCGAATGGGCAGCCACTGCTGCTCTGATAGGGTCTGCATTGGTAGAAAGTCTCAGATATCACATCTCACCACACAGCTTTCTCAGACCTATGCCCTCAGAATCACATCTGGTACTTATTGTGCTGGTTCTACAGCTGGAAGAGGATAAGAGCTTTATTCTGTCCTCATTTTTCAACGCTGTGTAAAAAAATCAAGTGGCTGGGACTGAGGGAATATTTCCAGAATATTTTCTCCCTCTAATCAACTCTTATCCTGCACTGCAAACCCTGCAACTATCCTGGCAACCAGAGCAAGAAACAAACGGTGTCCACTTCATTACAAATTTAAAAATTCTAGTGCTACATCAGGATACCTTCCTCCACCTGCAGACTTCAACTAATTGTCAAATCAGAGAGTTGCCCAAAGAGGGTATGTTTTGGTCCATGCATGATGCCACTTGGAGTACAACCAAATCACACACCAAATCCCTGAATTGTCCTGCAGCCTTGATGATTGCAACTCCAGCCACATTCACATTTCCACTACTGTGAGAATCCTTGTTTGTTTTCTGGCTCAAAGCTTGCTTCCTGAGGTATTTCTTGTGATAAGACTGACTTGCCTAGGAGATGAGTGATGGGTGTTGCCTTGTGGCAATCAACATCACTGTGTGGACAATTTTAGCTGTTTGCCTCTGGAAGAGTGCTCAGGAGTGTTTACTGGCGGAAGATCTAGCCTGTGACTAAATAACTCCAGCTTGCTATGGGAAACTGGGGAACGATGCCATTGTATCCTGTGAAGGCAAGATACAAGTTGGCACCTCCCTGCTCCCTCTTATCTGCTGGCAAAGCCTGGGAGATAGGAACAAAGGAGTTTCCGCTAAGATCCCAAAGCCAGAAGCTGCCACTCCAAGGAGAGCTGACTGAACCACTTTGGATTTGAGCTGTCACTCCAAAGACAGCTGACTCGACCACTTCGAAAGCACTGAAAAGGAGCCATCATTGCCATGGTTGTCATCATCATCAACAGAACAACAACACCCGATGACCCACCACTACTGAAGATCAATGGTTGAACTATGAACCACGCTGGATCCATGGTGGTGACTATGTCCCTCTTGCTTCCTATAAAGACTCCTTGCTTCTTCTTTTCTATCGCCCTCCTTCCCTTCCCCATTACCCTAATTCATAATGGTGTCTGTCCTCCCCTTCCCCATCTCCCTAATTAAGATCTGTAATAAACTGGTCGGACCAACATTTGAACCGTTGTTTCTTAATCTCACGCCAGGTATACAGATATTAAAAGAACCTCCTCTCCCTCCTATAAATTGGAGTGAGACAACCACTGATCTGCTTCCTTGGTAGGAAAACAGATTTCCCAGGGTCCTATCATTAATAGATTACTAGAAAAATGAAAATGCTGGAGTTACTCATAAAAGCATTGGTTGACAGCAGTCAGAGGATTTCTTAATTTATCTTGAAAAATCTATTCAATTTGAAACCTGATTTGCTAAATTCATTAGGAAATTTCTAAACTTTATCACTAATATATATGGTGTTTAACATCCTATATGTAAAATATTAGCTTGATTGGACAAGGTAGCACTGACAAATAGAAGTATTTATGCTACCATAAGTAATAATTAGTTACAGTGTTAGAGAACTGTATTTCACAGTTTTTTCATCTTGATACTGACAGAAGAGCATGTTTGTAAGCAAGCTGCAAATCCTGATGTAGCCTTTGAATATCAGAAGTCAAATACAACAAATTTCATTTTGGTGCATTTTAGCATATTCATCCCAAATGTGTGCTCAGTATTTAAAAAAAAAAAAAGGCAATGCAAGACAGATTTTCACACAACAGTAACTTTGCAAGAAATTCCTTAATAATAAAATAATAGCAGTATATTCTCAGTGATGATCACACAATATTGCAAGCATAAAAACATCACTTTTCCATTTTTTTTCAGCAGCTGTAAAGAAAGGGCATTGCTACACATTTATGTGGGGAGGCAAGCTTTTTAAAGATCGGATGAAATTTAAGAGTTTATCTAAAATTATCCCAGACTTCATAGTTCACTACATCACCAATTTTAAAATAAAGGTTTTCTATTCCCACACAACACCCACACCTTTAATCCTCAGAGTACTGCTTTCATCATGTCAAGCTCTTATATAAATCTTTTCTCAACTGCATTTTTTCCTCATTTAACTTCAAACAATTACTACCCTATGTTTCTGATACTATTTTTCTGCCAAAGAAAAGATGGAATTATGATACTAACTGTCCAACCCAAGCTTCTTTCACCACATTGGAATGATGAAACAGTTGTGTCACAGAAGTTTGCATCACCAGATTCACTTCTAATAGCTCAAGAAATCCCTATAGTCACAAATGGAGGTGTGCTGTTAAGGGTCTCTGTCTCTCTTCATGAATCATGGTGAGTCAATCATTTGGGGAGAGCAAGAAGTCTTCTAAAGGATAAAATAAAAAGCACAAAATTCAGGCATGACATGAAAAGTCAGAAAGTATGGCAATGTTTAAATTCCTCAAAGAACATGCAAAAGAAAGAAAGGGTGCTTTTACAACATCAGTTACCTGATTATCACTGTTACAATGAGTTGTACAAAGCATGCCCTTAAATAAGCTGGATTCGTTCTTGTGCTGAAGCATACAGTGTAATTGCTTTAGCCTCATTTTCATCATCCTCTCTTTTCCAGCCACAAAGGCTCATGGAACACCATTCAGAAGTTGCTGCGTCAAGCTGAAATGCTGCAAAATACCACAGAGTTTACTATGATTTGCATATAGTTTTTAAGAGGTAAATGTCATGTGTTAATTTCCAGCATAATTAGACTTGTACCAGTTGTAATTAGATAGCAACTACAGAATAAAAAAGAAAGGAAGAATGATGAAGCAAGTTTCATACAAATTAATACTGATTTGCAGAAGCTAATGTCTATTCCCTTGATTAGGACCCTTGCATAAGAAGTGGGAAGAGGTTATATAAATTAACACAGAGTGGTTGATACAGCTTTCACAGGTCCCAAGGTGCAGAATACTACTGACCTGTAACTATAGTGTTGTCCGTATTACTCCTTATTACTTTTTGGCGTTCTGAACTTCCAGAATAGATGGTTACAAACAGAAACCATTGCAAAATTGACCATGAGGAAGTTTGCTACCATTTCAGCTGCACGTAGAGTAGGAAACACCACAATCTGCTCCTTGGAGCAGGTTTTTGAAGTCTGTGGAACAACACTTCAAAATTGCTGACAGCTCTTCATAAAGAAATTAATGCCAGAACAAGAACAAAAGAAATTATAATGAGATCGGTAAGTGACACTGCAAAGCAATAGGCTTCTTTTGACACTCAGAGTTAGCTGGCAGTGTGATAGAAGACAAAAGCATACTCACAACACAAAAAGAATTGCAGGATTCTGTAAATCTACAACTGACTTCTCAGGGCTGTTTTGAAGGAAGAGACTGGGAAATAAAAACATGTGAGAGAATTCCTGAATGTTATTTTTAAAAACTTGTTTACTTGGTTGGTTGATGGGTTTTGTTTCTGTTTTTAAATGTTAATGATCTTTTTCCTACTTTTCATTTCTTTTCCAAAATACCTACAGAAAAGGGTATTGATTCTGAAATACTTGCTCTGGATTTGTCTTGGTATAAAAGAAGAGCAGGATTTTGTTCTCTGCTTTCACTCATATGACTGTAGCCTCGTGCTGTTAGCTTCTGTCCCTGTAATACTCCATGAAAGCCAGTGAAGTGGCTTGAAGCTTTTTGAAATGGTTAACAATACAAAAAAGGAGATAAACCTAAGCAAGAGAAAATGATTTTCTTTCCTTTGTATGTCTAGTTGCATTTCAGAGAAGAAAGACATTTTCTTCCACCAGGAGGGAAATTGCTTTGTGACTACATGGCATTAGGCTGTCTCCAGTGTATTTTCTCAAGAGCAACAGCAAAAAAAGAGCAAACAAATGCTGTTATGTGAATAGACTTAAAAAACAAAACAGTTTACTCTTTGTATGTTAGAGACTTTGAACCCAGATGGAACTATTAGGTCTACACACCAAGCCATAGCTCTTTCCTTAATTACTGTTTAATTAAAATGTAATAAAGAACAACCACCAAGTATTGATTGCTGAAGCATTAACAATTTGGAAGCACCTGTATCATTTGCTAAGTAATTCCAAAGGCAATTACCTTCACTGTCAAAAATCCACACTTGATTTCCAGCTTGAACTGATTCAGCCTCTGCTCCCATCCAGTGGAATTTGTTGCACCTCTGTCTGCTGCCTAGGGAGTCTGCTGTACCCAAATATGCTCCCCATGGCTCTGAAAGGCAGGGAGCAGGACTCGCTTTGTTCACCGTAAGCATATTTGTGTCCTCTGCAAAAGGATGAAAACCTCCATTCGTGTAGATTACGAAAGCGAAGGTGAAGGCATGACTTTGAATATTTGAATCTAACAGAATAACGTGGAGGGGAAGGATTTTTACTCATATGAGCTGAAGAATGAGGTAGGCATACAATCCCTTGGTTTTTGAAGCAGCAGTAACACACAAAGGTCCGGATGAGTTTCAGACCAGCATTTTTTAAACTATGCAACCTCAACAAATCTTTGCTTGCAAACAGAGGTGAGTCAGACTGCAGCTTTGGAGGGCATGCTGGAAGGCAGTGGTGACAGTGGAAACAGGGCAAGGATTAGTCCTGTGCCTACGTGCTGATCCATGCTTCATGTGGATCGAGCCCTCTGCACATTTCTGGCAAGCTTTTGGGAAAGTGTACAAAAATAGCTGTCATTCACCTTTCTGACAGAAATAGCAGAGTAAATTGGAAACTCCATCAGCTCATCCAGCTACCTACTATGCACTTGTTCGACCTGAAGGAAGGAAAAATAAAGTTAAGTGCAATGGAAAGGAAGACTGAAGGGAATCGAAAAAAGGAAAGGTTTTGTTTTTCTCCATACTCATTCTTACAGATTCTGCTTGATACGAAAACAGACTGGGTAGAGGACTCCTAGTAGTGTTCTGAATCTCATCAGGAAAGTAAATTTGTTAAGGTAGATACAAGCGTAAGTAAGGGGCTTAGCTCCTTACTAAGGAAGAAAAAGCACTAAAAGCTTCAGTAATGTTAGTCTCAATGATAGCTATGTATTTGTCAACATTTTAACTTCAAACTACTACAAAAAATAATTTAGATGCATATCAAAGTATAAAGCATTACAAGTGCCACTGTACTCCAGGAAAAATCATTTCCACATAAAGTACTCTCGGTGACCAAAGATATGTGGTTTCTGCCTATGGAATGAAAGAGTTAATATGCATGTTCTTTACAAACAAGAGCATCGTATGTATTTGTTTCTTCTGATGCTTCTTGCATTCTGGTAGGAAGAATAAAATAAGAAATATATCTCTGTTAAGATAGGATGCTGTCTGTATGGCAGTCACACAAGTGGATTTGTAAGTAAAGAATCTTTATGCATAGCCTTTAATTTGGATAGTTTTTAGTGGAAGACAGAACAGGGAGCAGATTTATCAGAAAATAAAGAAATAGTAATTGACAGGACAGTAAAGAATAAAATGAAGTGAAGCAGAGCATGTATAGCTAGGCACATGAGTCATCACTAAAATCTTGACAGTTTTCTTCATGTCTTCATGTAGATGATAAATAGCATATATTTTAATATGTAATATAAAAAAATCTACTTGCTGCATCATTATACAAATACTAAAGGAAATAAAAGCAGCACAATGATGGCAATGCCAAGTATACTAGGTAAAAAAAATAAAGCAGGACAGAATTAAAACCATGCTTCCTACTTTGGTGGAGAATATAAAAGATTTAATGATCCATCACACAAGACACATGATCTGTATGAAAAAAATGATCTAAGATGTACTTAATTTTTTTTTAAGCATAGAATCTAAGCAGAGGACACAACGTTTTTCAAGGATATCTTTGCACACAAGGTTTGATTAATACTTGATGAGGGAGTCAGTTGTCTCTGTGAATGCCCTGCAGCTCCTTGCAAAGGCTAGCGTTGGTAAAGGAGAAAGTAGGATTAAGATCAATGAAAACAGAACACTTGACCATAGTACAAAGCTAAGTCTGCCCTTGCTTGTACCTATAAAAGTGCCCAGAATTTCAAAGGATTCATATGGTCAGGGTCAAAGCGGATGAGATTCTGTAATCAGGTTTGCATAGAGTTTCTCACAACATGCTGAAAATTCCATGTTCAAAGAAACAATTCTGATTTTAGTTTCCCACCTCTACGATCGTGATGGAGAACTGCATACTGAGGCCAATACAAATTTGATTCTCTAATATTGCTCAAATCCCTTTCCTAATTTTATCAGAAAAAGTAATTCAGAAGACTGTACCTTTCTTGGCCAAAATGCAGAACCTGACTAAGGAACCATCCAAGTTACATAATCATTAGTTAAAATAATACAGCTAATTGGAATTCATTCCACCCAATCCAGACAGCAGATATTTCTATCCTTTATATGATATAGTAAAAAGATTATAGTATTTCCATAATAAAAATGATAATATTCAGGGCTTGGGATGTGTCATCTGGCCCAGGTGACTGCACACTTTAAACTACAGATGAGATAAAAGACTACCGTGGACACCAAATCCCGTCAGGTACAATTTCCAGTAATTCTGTACTGAGGTGACAAGCTGATTACAGAGATATTCAGAGCTGGCACTCTTGGTCCATGTTGTTAGAAAAATCTTGTCCTGGCAAGATAGACAGATGTCTTGTCCAGACATAAGACAATGGTGATGTGGACAACAGTAACCACATCAGCAATAACAAGAAATATAATCAAGCATAGCAAACACTGAAAGTGTTAAACTGAAAATGGTTCAAATACCCATTCAAGGTTGACTGTCTAATATGGATTATGTATAAATATATATTTAGAAGCTATGTAGGAGCAAAATTTTATAGCTGTATTATAAATAGCTAGAAATAGCCTCTTCTTTTATACTGTGTCAAAGTGTAGATGATAACTCATACTTTTAAATAGCTCTTCATAGGACAAATAGTTGTCCTATGGGTTGTCCTATAAGTAAAGCAATGTGCTGTGAAAATATTCCTCATCCATACCCACTAGATTTCTGCATTTAAGACCACATAGCATCTTTGCACACTATGTGGAAGAGATGATTTGATACTGATCTGGATCTTCCCACAGCAGTTCAGGCATCAGAGCTCTGGGACATTCACATGAATCTCTTTCTATTAATAGGATCAACTATTATCTAATTTCCACTTTGATGAGAAAATGGTCTTGGGAACTGCTGTTAGCTACAACAGGATGAGATGCACACTAGGCATTCTAAAGTACTTACTCCCCACAGCTGGATGTTAGTTGAAACACACTCATTCAGCACTTTATATCTTGTCCTTCTTCTACACAAAGAAATGAGTCTCTCTTCTAACTAAACAAATGCAGATGAAAACCCCGGGACAAGTCACAGTATCAACTGTGAGGAAAAGTCTGTGGGTTTTTTTTGTTTGTGAGAAGATGTGGAAAAAAGGCTTAAACAACCCTGCCCTCAGATGAAGGAACTAGTTTTTACTACTGTAAAATATTTTTAAGCTACGTATCTTCCCATTCAACCATGAGCTCTGCTCCCATGAAACTGGGAAATAGAGCCAAGAGTTCCATTCCAGCGTTGTTTTTGGCATTTGCTTGGGAGAACTCAACCCAGCTCTCTGCCTACTTCCACACCCTTCTATTTTGGAAAGATACTGTACTTTCAATATGAAGTACAAAACCTTTTGCAGTAGGAAAGCAAAATGCACTGCAAGAGTCACATTTGAATAGCCTTGACTGAAATGGCAAAGGCAGAAATTGTTTTTGCTCATCTAATACCTAACAGTTTTTCTTATCTTTTTTTCCTTCGATTAAAGGATTAGAATGCACTTTTATAACCCTGAAAAACTAACAGCAACAATTTGGTATTCTAACAGCATGTCATCGTTTGATATTATTTGATTTTGAGCCATGAATGCATTATGCCTTTATTCAAACATTTACCTAAGGAACGGCATCTTACATGAATAAAAAGCAGGATAGATAGCATGCATAAATATATGCTACAGTCATCAACTTAAGAAAAAGTTAGCTTTTCTATGTAAATTTATAAAATACTCTTCTCACTCAGTACTTATTTGTTTGTGCATGGACTGACTTGGGTGAATACACGCAAACAAAAAGGCTGGTCTATTCTGACTGAACAACATGTCACATTAAATTAAGAACGTGATCTGCCGTAGATGAAACATTAATTAAATCAAGAACTATGTGCTCAAACTTGAAACTTGTTTGGAAATGCTCTAGGGAAAAAAAAAGACAAAGGAATCCCATCTCAAACTATATTTAGAAAGCTGTAGCTGGAAGTCATAGTTAGAAATCACACAATTACCGATTAGATAGCAAGTTATTACTAAATGAATATTGTGTTACATTCTCTGAATTTTTTATTGTTTAATTCCTAGATGTGCAAAAAAAACCACCAAACATTTGCTGCCATGATACGTATAAATACAGACAAGTTAAATTTATGTATGTTTGTGGTAGTGAGAGTCAATGTCCTGCACCATAATATAGCATCTATTACACATTTAACTTTGTTATTCAAGAAAAACACCAGAGAGTAGACATATAGAACACTCTTCCTTTTTTTTTTTTTTCTTCTGTAATTTGTTTTAGAAGTAAGACTTAATTTTAAAGGGAATAACAATGACAAATCCATAGGTCCCTTTCAGAAGAGACTACTCAACTTCATAACATAGCTTTGGAATAAATGTTTAATCAAGACTTCTATTATTTACTGAACTTTTTAACTTTGAAATCATCAAAATTCTAGGGAACCTGATATTCAGACACCATGTACTTCACAACTCAGTAATGTTTACAGATTCAAGATGTCTTCCTAATGAAACCTGGTAATCGGCTTAAAATTCATTGATTGAAATTTATTGTGTGATTTCACAGATACAATACATTTATTGTATCTAATGATTTTCATACATATGTTATAAAACACTTGGATTTGTATAAATTGGATTTGTATAAATCCACGATTTAATGATGTGCAAAATGGGAAGTACCAGGCTCTTAGTTTATTGGCACATTTTATTTTTCCTCTCTCATGTTTCCATAGCTCTAACGTAGCTCTTCTTTTAGAGCTAAACAACAGCAGAGATCTGTCTCTGATTCATGCACGCAGTTCAGAGTAATACTTGTTTCGTTTCATGCTAATATCTAAACAGATACCAAGTCATAGCTTTGTATTTTATGTCCATATTGTATAGAAGAAAAAGAGTGATAGAGGGGAAGCCAAGCTAAGAGAACTGTTGTAACAGGTTGCCCAGTTTTATTTCAAACATCAATAATAGTAATTAAATAACAAGTCATATGTCCTTTTTTACTTGGGAAAAAGAAAAACCAAAAACCTATATATAGCCTTAGGGAAAATTAACAACTAGGAAGTGAATTGGACAGTAGTGAAAGAATAAGCGTTAAGGTGGCTAACAAACAGTGGAGCACATACTGGGGGGGAGGTGAGGAGAGGAAGCAAGGCATCTCTGTATGACTCTGCCAATGCTTAGCAGAACCCTGAAGATTAAGTGGAATGCATATATAAGTGTAGATCAGAATACAATTTCTATCTGTCCCTCAAAACAAGACTACAGAAATTCATGGCTAGGGATGTTAGCACATAAGGAGCAGTGTTTGAAGAGCTGTTAGGCACTCAGTAACACATACCTACAACTATATCTGGCTTATACTATAGTGTTCACTTGTGATAGATGAATACCTCCACAGCAGCACTCCCATACTGCATATATTTAGCTTG